TGTTTATCAACGGTTATAATTTATTGGATCAAAATTATTAATTAATTAATAATAAATTTGGCTCATTAAGTTTGATCCAATAAATTATAATCGTTGATGGACGAAAATCAACGGTTAAAATCTAAAATGATATAAGATTATATCCTTTAAAAATATAGATGTTTTTTCCATATAAATAACACAAGTAATAGCAAAATGCTGTAGAAAACTAAGTCAATATTCAGTGTAAAGGATATAGATAATTCAAATAAATTAAAAAGTGAGCGTTTAAATCGACGGCGCGAGTCTTTACCAAATTAAAAAAACTTCACCAACGAAAAGAAAATTAAAGATGAGAATGACATAAAAAAGGTCATAATAAGGTTGAGTGCAGGTCTTGTCAAAATATTAATGAAAAAAATTAAAGACAGTTTGACGTGAGAACAGCACTGCAACAAGGTTATAACAAGGTTGATTGCAGGTTTTGCCAAAATAAAGATGAGCATAACATAAAAATGGTTATTACGAGGTTGGCTGCAGGTCTCGTCAAAATATTAATGAAAAAAAAATGAAAGACAGTTTGACGTGAGAACAACACTGCAACAAGGTTATAACAAGGTTGATTGCAGGTCTTGTCAAAATAAAGATGAGAATAACATTAAAAAGGTTTTTTTTTTTTTTGGTTTCCACATAAAAAAGGTAAGTACGAGGTTGGCACTTGGCTGCAGGTTTCATCAAAATATTAATGAAAAAAAAAAAAAAGACAGTTTGACGTGTGAACTGCACTGCAACAAGGTTATAACAAGGTTGAGTGCAGTTCTTGTCAAAATATTAATGAAAAAAAAATTAAAGACAGTTTGTTTTGGTTCCTGATATATAGTTCGACGATTTAATTTTGGAAAAATTAATTATTAGAAGAAATGTGTGTCATTTTAAAGGATGTAAAATTGTGTCATTTTAAAAGAGTAAAAGATATAGATAAAAAAGAAGAGAAAGTGGACAAAAATAAATAAAGGTGTAGGTCCCACCTTTTGTGAGAGTGAAATGATATAAGTTGTGTCATTTTAAAAAGATAAATATTTTTTCCTTAATTATTTCATATTATGTGTATTAGCTGTCAATTTATCACAAAACACATACACACAAACTTTTACATATAGAAAATAATTATCTCATGCAGAGACAAGATAGTGGGGTTCATTATTTATTTATTTTTAAAAATAGTGGACCCCACTATCTTGTGTCTGTTGCATCAGATAATTATCTCATGCAACATGAGATAAATAGATCCATATATATATATATATATATATATATATATCAATGTTACTAAATCCGACCCGGTCATTGACCCGGTCGATGTACTGGGTCAGTGGGTCACTGGTTCAACCACATTACTAATACTGCCCTGAACGCAATCCTATTAAGGATGCAGGAAATGGAGAACAGGTTTCTAGAATAGCAGCGATTGGATGCCCAAAGGATCGAAGCCTTGGAAGTCGGGCTGCAAAATCGAAGCACTGAAGGCCGAGCTGGACAAGAAGGCTAGAACCAAGGAAATGACAATGGCTGAGGTACTCCGGACGAGAATCATAATGAAGATGGAGGTCATGGAAATGTCCGAGATGACAACTACCTCTGCGACGACGAAGATTCTAATGATAGCCCGTTCACTGAAAGACTCATTAACCTGGCAATTCTGCTGAGGTTCAAGAAAGCCAAAATACCTCCCTATGACGGGAGTCAAGATCTTGAGGCCTATCTAGAGGCTCTTAAATGGGATAACTGAACCCATCAAGGCCAGGATCTTCGCAACTACACTAACAAGTCAGGCAATGGCTTGGATTACGAGATTGCCCAAGAACTCGATTGATTCATTATAGGATCTAGCACATACCTTCCGCCTGAACTTTGCGGTGAGTAAGGCCATTCCACGCTGGCTTATGCATTAACTCGGATTTAGAAGAAGGAGAGAGATGCTAAAGTATCTCGATTGTTTCAATGAAGCCGCACTCAAAGTGCACAATTTAACTGAAACAGTCCATCTGTATCTGATTATCTCAGGACTGAATGGCGAATCCCCTCTGGCCAAGTCTATATACAAAAATCATGTTAATGATCTGGAGGAGCTCAGACGAAGGTCGGATAAATGCATTGACGTTGAGGACATGCAACGTGCTTATGGAGAATCTAGAGGCCGGAGCCCAGGTCGCCAAAGCCCAAACAAGAAGAATAAAGATAGAGATTGGCAGGGACCAAAGAAGGCGACTGAATCTCAAAGTAAAAGATCAGATGAACGCTCCTCGAGAACTAAGTTTGACAGTTATGCACCCTTAATGTTTTCAGATCTCAAATTTGGAGAGGTTCAAAAAGCATGTACCTGAGAGGCTTCAACCCTTTATTTATAAGAGGGGTTACCTGTAGGTTTAGAGTCCTAAAAGGAGTGTGATTCTTTGACCCTTTGTTATCTAGAATATTATTTGGATAAGTCTTATCCTTTATTGGATAAGTTGTTGAGATATGAATCCAGTCCATAATAGTTTCCCTCCAGCTGCGCAATGTCGAAAGACCTAGGCCCATCAAGAACAAGGGTGGCCTGGATCGAACCAGATTTGGTGCCTTCCATAATGGCAATGGTCATACTACGGATGAATGTTGGGACCTCCGAGATGCTATTAAAAAGCACATTTAAGAGGGGAAGTTGAAGCAATACCTCATCCGCACTCAAGGAAAGAAAAATAACAAGCGCAAATAATGACATCGTAGTAAGAGCCCGAGCCCAAAAAGGGAAGACAAGAGCGATTGAGATAAAGATCACATCGAAAAAAGCAATCAATTACTTTTGAAATTGCGAACTTTTGAAATTCATCGCGCTTAAGACTTAATCTGAAAGGAATTACTAAGACATTAGTGTTCTAATTAGGCTAAAGGGTAAAAGGCACTAAGACATTAGGATTTAACCAACCAATTATTTAGAAGATGAATTGTTTGGAACAATTGAGATAAAATATTATTGAAATTAATTTAGATTACTCAAGATGGAATATGTAATATTTCACTTAATGATTCTGATGTGACAAACCCACGATGGGATCAGATGGTTATAGGGTAAGAGACACATTAGCATGACTTGAGCTCCGCCTCTTTTACATACAGAACCCACAAAGGTTTGAGCGCTCACAAAGGTATGAGTTTTAGTCATTTCAGTTAAAGACTACATGTTCATTTATATGTTTGTATGCATAAACTCACAAAGGTTTGGGTATGTTTTTATTTAGAACCCACAAAGGTTTAGGTAGAACTCACGAAGATTTGAGCTTATATTTATTATTCATGATATTATTTTCTTATTACAAACATATTTTGGAGAATGATATTTTTCACTAATGTGGCTGGATTGGTTATAGTTCGAAAACCCTAATATTACTGTTATTTACCTCACATGTATTTGTTTTTTATGCTAACCTTTTCATAAAGTAAGCATGTCAGTATGTGTAGCGTTGGAGTAGGATAAAACACTATGGTTAAAGACTTTGAAGACTGTACGGAGCTCAGCAGAGCAACTGATAGAATAAAAGTAAATTCACCCAAGTGTGGTGGCTGAGTTGGTAGCATGGGGACTAAGTGGTGGGAGAGGTCCTCGGTTCGAATCCCACCAACACCATCTGGGGAGGAGCATAAGTACCGTAATCCTTGGACTCCCACTCGAACTCTGGATTACTCCTATAGGCGGCTCGAAGAGTCAAACCCGTGAAAATACCGGGGGGTTCTGATTCGCCTCAAAGAGGTAATTAGGATCAGTTACAAAAAAAAGAATAAAAATAAACTCTTTTCAATTTAGATTATGATATATTTTAGATGTAATAATGAACTTGATTTCTGTATAATTAAATTTAAAAAATATTTTATCATATGTTTTTGTTCTTATCCGCTGTGTTAGAATATAATTATGATTCTCATTTTTTATTTAAAATAAGAATTAAGAATTAATATGATATCCTCTATGCTAGCCAGTTATAAAGGATGTTACATGTCCATTACATGATTGGTCTATTATCTTACTCGAATCGAATTGATTAGGTGACCTATTCAACGAGTTTCGAATCAACTCGGCAAATTCGAGTTGAGTCTGATAACATTAGCCTAATCACCATTGACCCGCAATATGTCCTACCATGTACTACACCTCAACTTTAAGCTCTAATAATTTCCACACAAAAAAAACAAACGGAACTAAAACAAAACGGCCCTTATTAAATTCGATTAATTCTTCATTATTTGTCTACTTAGAGTTGATATTAGGGGTTAAGCTATCCCACTCCGGCCCGTCTATAAATTACGGGTATACTCATTTCGTTGTATAACAAATTAGCGGTCAACTAACTTAAATAATATAAATATAAATATAAATATAAATATAAATATAAATAAACGGGTTAACTAACATTTTTATGTTCCATCACATGTATAGAGTGCCAATTAGGATTTAGATGTAAACATATCCCTTCTCAATTTTATTGAACATTTACAAATAAAAGTACTATTGCAGCTCGCACTTAACCGATTGTAACTCATCTTTACACAAGGCAGGTCGATGGATTAAAATTTATAACTCAACCCGCTAAATTGAAAAGGTTAAACGGGTTGATTGGGTGAATGATACCAATCATAGTAGTTAAAATTCTGATTTAAATCTGCGATTTTACGATTTTTTTCAATCAAAATGATTTCATCAAAATGTCAAACGTTTTTATGATTTTACGATTTTTTTATGTTAGGATTTTATGTTTTATAATTTTTTATCATCCTTTCGATTTTAAGTAAAATCTCGATTTTAACTACCATGGTACCAATTCTATATAAATACTCGTAATAGATTTGTAACATTCAATATTGGTAATATGATTAGCCGTTCAATCCATGTATATATATGTTGTATTATTAACTCAATTTATTCCCCTTTATTTGAATGATTAAACATGTTACATGAACTTATTTAAGGACAGATCGAGAGGTGTGATTTATGAGGACTGAACAAGCTGCTCGATATCCATTGGGTAAGTGAAGGCTGGATCAGACCCATTATATGAAGCAAATGCAGTTAGTCGGTTCACTGCCTCTGTTGGATGAAATGCATCCCAAAACACGTACTGATTCCTATTCTGGCATGGTGTTTGATTAGGAACACACTGTCCATTCTCCCCTGTTGGGCAGCAAGGAGCAGTAAAAACAGTGAAACCTGAAATACAAGCATGGACCATGGTTGTTTACACATTCAATTTTAATTTGTTCAATCTAGAATGTTAATAAATGAAGTATAAGAAAATTAACCCCATGTGTTTACCAAATGAACTGTCAATGGTTCCGGCTGTGCTGTTTATAAAGATGAATTTGGAATCAGCAGAGAACTGTGTATTAAATTGATCCACTAGAGATTTAAGCTTTTTATTAAACATGAATGCAGCAGCATTCTCATCTTCAGCACAAGATCCATTTGCTCCACGGGTAGATATGGCATTTGGAGTGCATCCTATAAGACCCACCCCAACCAGAACGTACTTTCTTGCCCCAAGATAATGCAGAGCCTGCCCAAACAAAACATTTTTATTATTTTAAATCATCCAATCATGATAGTCGTACATAATCATGTTGGGTTGGTCGAATGTGGGGCAAGTTTGATCCTTTTTCAACACTTGTGGATTCTATAATCAAAGTAAATTCAGCAGGTTTATTGCTTTTATGTCCTTAACGTTAGTAAATAATTTTGTATTTATACCATTCAATTAACAGAAAAATATTTCTGCTGCAGATAAGTTATCTGCATTTATTCCTAAAACAACATTGTTTTGGGATTGAAATATTAAAAAATTATAATTATAAAGACTATAATAATCCTGAAATAAATTAAAATTACAAAAATACCATGATTTCTGTCTCAAAACAACGTCGTATTAGGCTTACTACAGATAAAAGCAAACCCTTAAATTAATGGGAAATACATTTCTCATTTTATATGTGATAAATTATCTTATGCATAGTAAAAAAGTATATGGAATCTACTAAAGAAAAGAGAAAGAAAAAATAAATAAATTTTGTAAGATAAAGTTGTTTCATATACCATGAAAAATATATTTCCCAAAATTAATACTTGTAAATTGAATGAAGTAGAACCTATTTTAAAACCCAGCCTATAATTTTGTCAATCAGCCCAGTGATGGACATTTTCAAGCATAATCCTAACTTTCAGGGCCGGGTTTTGGCTTATTTTGGGTTTGGGTTTTTGTTGCAACCCACCCCATGTTCACGTCATTCAAATGGGATATTAGTTGATTTACATATTTATTTATTTTTCTGAAGACATTAGTTGATTTATGTATAGACATATACACAAAATCAAAGTCAGCCACATTACACAAATGTAAATGCTGTTGTTGGCTTTATCCGATAAATATTTAAGTTAGGATACATTGACTTAGACATATCAATCTGCAATATGTGTGTAGTTTCTTTAAGTTTGATACGTTTTTAAAAAACTAATGAAATAATTTTGTACCTTCTTCATCAGTTATTACTTTTGACTTATGAATATAGCTAAAATGGGTTAAATTAAAATCTCTCTAAAATAAGCTTGGCCTGTTTTTCGAATACAAAGTATTTTTTAAAAATAAAAATTGACATAGCATTTTTAGAAGTGAAACAGTACACGGTATATAAAAAATTATTTAAAAGGCATTATAATTAAAAATTAATAACAACATTAATATATAGGTTTAATGTGCTGTAGAAAAAATTTCTCTATCATACTCACATAAAAGTGAGTGGGTCTCATTATAAAGAAAATGAAGAGAAAAATGGGACACACTCACTTTTATGTAAGTGTATCAGAGAAATTTTTTCTGTAATAAAAGCAAATATATTTTTCCTTAATATATATATATATATATATATATATATATATATATATATATGTATAGAAATCATTTTCTCATGTTCTACGAGAATTATTTTTTCCTACCGGTGATTCTTCGATTTTTGTGCAACATTTTCTTTTGTTTTTTAATAAATGTGAACCCCAGATAAGATGTGTTTATAGTATGAGAATTTTTTTTCCTATTGCATGATTAAAGGTTTGTTCTTTTAAAGGATACAAGTTGTGTCATTTTAATTTTTAACACTATATACTACGTGTAGTATATAGTTATAATATAAAAAATTGCTTTTTTTTTCTCTCTCTCATCAGTCACTTTAGCTGATGTGAAGAGAAAAAAAAAACTTTTTATATTATAACTATATACTACTCATAATATATAGTGTTAATATCTAAAATGACATAACTTGTTTGATTTAAAAATAGTCACACTTAACCTATCTAAAATTTCTCTGTAGATAGCCTAAAAGCTCAGCTTTTAAGATCAAGAGTTTTTTAAAAAAAGTTTTTTCTTTTACAAGTGTCCTTAAACAAAGATAAGTATACTTGATCCAATAGTTTATAAAATGGATCCTCCCATGTGTTGATTAACATGACCATGTCATGTGTAGGAATCCTAGCCATACAAAAGAGAATCAACGGTTACGATTATGTAACTACCTATCTCTAGTTTTTTTTTTTCTTCCTTTATCACCATTGATCTAAAGATTATGATTTCCCAACATTATATGATCATGTTAATTAACACATGAGAGGATCCACTCCCAATAGTTTACGTGCCATTTTGTGTGACGAAGTGAGAAACACGCCGAAAAATGTAAGATACCTGTAAATCGAGAGATAACTCTTGAATCAGAGCTTCTGCATACTGCTCGGGGCTATAAATGTGGCTTGATGGGTAGAACTGGGGAAGGAAGTAATTGTTTATGTAATCATTGCTGCCTATATTCACGTAATACAAACACTTATCAAGATATTCTGCAGCTTTGTCATAACCTCCAAGTCTGACAGCTATTTCGGAAAATATGGATTTGTGATTTGTTAACTGTTGTCCCAAGCTGATATCAGCACCCTGTGTTGCGTAACACTAATTTAGTGGCATGCATGACCATTGAGACACAAATATTCCTCTACATATATTACAAAATCCATATTGAAGATAAAGATGAACATGTTAACAAGGATACATGGCTATTTGATTTAATAGTATACCATATGCTTGCCACTCTCAAAGCGAATTCCAGCTGCACCAGATGCATAGTTCACACCTTTAAGTATGTCTGAACCAATAGTGTTTGCAAAAGGAGGGATGAACTTCTCAAATCCCAGAAATTCAGCTGAACAAAAAATTTAGAGTAAGAGAAATGACACTTGGTTCAAAAATATATAGCTTTTATTCTTTCAGAACTATTACAAAATTGGTGAGTTAACAGAAGATATAGTTCACCCCGACTTAAAAATTTGACCCCCCAAAACGAGAGTTGAATTTAAAATTTTGAATTGCAGTACTGAAAGCCTAGCTAATCTTAAAGAGAAAAAGAGATATTAGAGGTCATAATAAGAGTAAAGAAATGTTACTAATTATGTCAAATGTAGTTCGGCCATTGGTAAATCTTCCAGTTGGGCCTATTGGGAAATCGATCCCATATGGATTGTAATTAGATTTTGCAGAAGTTGGAAGGTTATTGTTGTTTCCACTATCAGACAGAGAGTCACCAAATCCAAAAAGGCATGGCACTTGGGGTTCCCCTTGGACACAATGTTGCATGTAGTTTGCAGCCAAGAAAAGAAGAGGAATAACCAACCATGTCTTGGTCTCACAAGCCATCTCTGAAGCAAATTAAAGAGGTTGGGTTGTGATCCAGGAAATAAGGAATGTGTCAAGAACAATATGGAAGTGGTGTATATATATAGGGTGGGGTGACGAATTGTTAGGACCAAATTGGAGGATTTATTGTTAAAATAAGATCAGAATGAAGCAACAAATTAAGGATGACGGGTTTGGCAAGTTCTTTATATTAATAAACACAAAAGGTCTACGGATGAGAGCATCTATTTCAGTTTTACACCCTTGAACACGACATCTTAGAAAAACTTTCGACTATTTTTTTTTTTTACTTGTTTTTGCATTTTCCTCCATCCCTCTCCTTGTCATGGGAATTGAACACCAACTCATCAAGCATGGACAGCTTTGTCTGTTTCTATCTACGAATAATAACATTATATTGACAACGAATCAATTTTTTTTTTTTTTTTTTTGGATAATAAAGGAAAACTAAAACAAACAAAAATAGACCTAGCTAGGGATCCACCTGGGAGTATGTAACTAAAATAAACTAAAACAAACAAATTTGTGGTATTTTATTTTTGTAATTTTTTGTACTTAATTTTGTTTTGCATTTTGATTTCTTCAAAATATATAAGATTATAATTAAGAGTAATTAGTAATTCGTTATGATCTTTGTAGAATGATTCAAGACTCGTCCAAATTATTTACTAGATTGATTTGGTATACTTGCGTAATTTTCCGGTCTAAACCTCTCCAGTCTCCACACATTTGAAAATCTTTTTGGCGAGGCAGTAGAAATTTGATAACGAAATATATAACTAATAATTTCTCTTTCAAACGATGCGTTGCAAAATTATCCACATATTAATTGGACGTGAAATTAATATTCTATATAAATTTTAGATGTGTAGTACCAGTTAATTGACATGCTGAGAAATTTAGAGTAAATACCATTTTCGGTGCTCAACAAATTTTACGATGCCCGCTTTAGTCCTTAGCAAATAAAAAGGCTATTCGTGGTCCCTAAGAAATTCAAAGTGAACCCATCTTAGTCTTTTTGAGGGACTAATATGAGTCTTTTTTGAATTTGTGAGGGACCACGATTTCAACTAAATGGGTCCATTTTGAATTTATTAGGGACCACGAATAGCCTTTTTATTTGCTAGGGACTAAAGCTGACATCGTGAAATTTGGTGAGGACCAAAAATAATATTTACTCAAGAAATTAATAACAAAATAGAATTGACATGCTATGAAATTGAGTACCAGTTAATTTAGAAAATCTCTCCACCAATTGATTGCTTAAGCCTTAGTTAGGTTGAAATTTTAAATATAGTTGAAAAAATAAGTGATTGGGTCTTAGCGTCTTTAATAATACATGCTTATGCCAAACTTGATATTGTGGTATTTTATTTTTGCAATTTTTTGTACTTAATTTTGTTTTGCATTTTGATTTCTTCAAAATAAGATTGTAATTAAGATTAATTAGTAATTAGTTATGATCTTTGTAGAATGATTCAAGACTCATCCAAATTATTTACTAGAATTGATTTATACTTGCATAATTTTCCGGTCTAAACCTCTCCACACATTTGAAAATCTTTTTGGCAAGGCATGCATTAGAAATTTGATAACGAATATATAACTAATAATTTTGTGATTATTTTTTACATATACAATTATATGGTTAATAAAACGTGCATGCAGAACACGGGATTTGCTGAATCTCTCCAAATTTTGAAAATGATCAAAATCATGCATAAGCATCATGACAATTGGAATTAAAGTACTAGGGATATTATTTACCAAAAAAAAAAAAAAAAGTACTAGGGATATTCGATTTGGTGGACTGATCAAAAGATAACAATCGGAATTCTGAAACCAACCTGCTGATTTTGGCACGTGCATTTTGTGGTCGCATGATTTCTTTATGTTAATCTGTTTAATAATGCTGTTAACAAATGTACAAACTAAATATAGGGCCCGTTGTCATATGCAAATTAAAAACAATAAGATATAAAAGTATCTATGCTTTTCCGTATAAATAATATTATGGGTTTAAATTAAGGGTTTTATTAGTGTTATGTAACATAATGTATGTATTGTTTTTAACTCTCACATCAAAAGGGAGAGAGAAAGTAGAATGATGAAAGAGAAAGAAAAACATGTAGACCTCACCTCTTTAATGTGTGTGTAAGAAAGGGAAGTTATATTATATTAAATGATAAACATAAAACCCTTAAATTAATTTCGTCCGAGTATATAAAAATTTACCAACTATATTCCTCGATTCATTTTCCAAAAACAAAAAGTCACCCTCATTTGTTTTTTCTACAAAATTTTTATATTATATACGTATGTAGGTCCTCCGAAAGGTAACAAATTTGGCTGATATTGGGCCGAACTTATGTATAAGGGCATTGACATTTTGACAAGTTGAAATATCCAATGGCCGAAAAGCCATTTATGACAGTAGAAAAAAAAAATAAGGAAAAAAGCGCACCAGTTATCTAAAAATGTTTGGTAAGAGAATTATTTTTAAATGCCTAGAATTGTGAGGGTCGAATTTCAAAAAGGCCATATTTGGTAGCACATTGGGAAAAAAATTCACTGGAAAATGATTTTCCTGGAATTCAATTTTATGTGTTAAGTGGTGTTTGGTAGGAGATTTTATTTTATCCAAGAATTGTGATTCCTTAGAATATGTTGAGAAATTAATTTTTTTGAGAATGTTATAAAAAAGTTATTTGATAGATCAAAATTTTACAAAAAAATATTGGGTCAATTTTCTTCAATCAATTTTTTTTATGATAAAATATTACTGAAAATGTAAACCGAAATTAAAATTATACCCTCACTTCTTATACAAATAATTTTCAAAGCCACGTGCATCAGGCGACGCCGACGATCGTCACCACGCATATGAGGGCACAAAGCAGCAAGGCTAGAATCACCGCGAAATATGATTCAAACTCCACGGCCTCCGGCAGAGACATCACCGCAAGCATGGTGTAGGTGGATAATTTGTACAGAACTTGAATTGGAATTGGAAGCTTAAACTTGAATTTTTCTTCCCATCATGGTTTTTTCTCTCTCTCTTCGTTCGGTGCCAAAGAAGAAGTGTCTTCTTTCCCGCACAAAAGAACAAATTGCTTGTATAAGAAAAGTTTCATAAAATCTGAAAACTATTTGTCCATATACCACTTTATGAGTGAATAATTTTTCGGAGAGTGATAAAATATCCTGGAATGTCGTCGCAGATTCAATTTCTTCAGGCCAGTACACGAAAATTAATAATCAGGATTAATTGGCAAAAAATCGGTACTAATGTTATTTTTCAAATGTATCTCCATCCTAAAACACATTTGAAGAGAAAGACGAGATCAGAAGCCACGTAGGAAGCCCAACCAATCGCGTCAGTCCATGTCACGTGTTTTCCACGTATCCCGCCACCTGTTGTGACATGTACCAGTCCCGCCATGTCAGTTGGCGAGACTAAGCCACGTGTGTGACACATCTGCAGTTCTTGTGACGCGTTCCAGCTACCCCAAACTAATCAATTACATTAATTATATTGTCCTAAAGCATTTTTTGCAACAGTGTAATGTTAATAAATTATTTTGTTTAAAAGATTTAATAGCATGAATAATATTTAACTAATTCAATAAATGGTAATGGCTATTTATTTACTTTTTTAATAGTTATTAAATCAACTTAATATATTTTTTCTTAGGTTTTATTCATTAACATGAGATCTGCAATTATATAATTATTAAAACAATTATTACGATTTCAATAATTAATAATTGTAATTATTATAAATATATTCAATCTAAATTACTATTTCAGATTAATGTTTATAATTTTCAATATTAACAACTTAGTTTTCTAACATGGTTTTTAAAGCATTGTAAATTTCAATATGATTACTATTAATCAGGTCACTAATTAAAATTACAACATAATTATGACATTAATCACTGTTTACCAAAAGCAAAAATTACATTGATTAATAATTATCTTAGGAATAATTTTTTGATGCCTACTAAGGATTCCAAAATTATTTTTCTTAATTAATGCAGAATATTTGAAAAAGGTTTTAATGACATGATTATTATTTAATTATTAAACTAATGATGACTAAGTTAACATATGCAGGTTTGTTATAATTATTATATTTGGTTAATATTAATATTTATTTTATTTATTAATTACGCAAACAAATGGGTCACTATTTACTAATTAAAAAAACAAATTTACTATTTAAAATTGCATTTACTAATAATTATTAAAAGAACCATTTCATTTTATTAGTATTTGGGGTGGCTGGAACACGTCACAAGAACTGCGGATGTGTCACACACGTGGCTTAGTCTCGCCAACTGACATGGCGGGACTGGTACATGTCACAACAGGTGGCGGGATACGTGGAAAACACGTGACATGGACTGACGCGATTGGTTGGGCTTCCTACGTGGCTTCTGATCTCGTCTTTCTCACTGGCGGGACTTATCTCGTCAGTCAAACCTACGTGTTTGACTGCTCTAGTATGGCCATTCTTTTCAAATGTGTTTTAGGATGGAGATACATTTGAAAAATAACATTAGTACAGATTTTTTGCCGGATTAATTTTGTCACAATTTTCGAGGTTAATTTTTCAAAATTTCAGAAAAGTCAAAATACCATCATTTGGATGGTATTTTTTGGTTGGATTTTTGTTCAACTTTTAGAAAACGTTTGATATAGGAGAAATTTTTTTTATCCGAAAATTACAATTACTGAGACTAATGTGGGAAAAAAGGTTTTTGGGGATTGTTACCAAAAAACTATTTGGGAGGTCAAAATATTACCGAAAATATTAGTTAATTTTTCTGAGTATATATTTGGTTGATAATAAAATATTGCTGGAAATATGTGAAAAATTTACAAAACTACCCTCCTAATAACTCACTTTTGAAACACACTTATAAACAAAAAAAAAAAAAAACTTGATCCAAACAACAATGGAAAGTAAAGCAATATAACCTCTTTTGCTACCA